TGAAATATTAATAAGCTTCCCAGCTTTTTCTCCCCCAGATTGTGTTTCTCTGTGTATAGCTTTAGCTGTCCTGTAACTCAGTCTGTACATCAGGCTGGCCTCAGACTCTCAAAGATCTGTGTGTTTCTGCCTCCTGAGTACTAGGATTAAGGGCATAAGCCACCTCTTTTATTTTTTGTTTTTTGGAAAAAGGAAATAAATACCAGGGCCTAATGAATTTATAGTAGAATTCTACTAAACTTTCAAATATTGTCTACAGCCAATAGTTTAATTTCTTAAACTGTTTAAAACAACAGACACAAGGAGCACTCCTGGATTTCTTCTATGAAGCTCGTATCACTCCAAAACCCAAACCACATAAAGATTCAACAGTAAGAGAAAACTGCAGACCAATATTCCTAAGGAACATAGACTAAAAATACATAATAAAATAATTGCAAATAGGATGTAGAGATACATCACAAAGAGTATATCCCATGACTGTAATGATTATAAACCATGACTGTGATGGTTTGTATATGCTTGGCCCAGGGAGTGGCACTGTTGGGAGGTGTAGCTTTGTTGGTATAGGTGTGGCCTTGTGGGTATGGGCTTTAATACCTTTGTCCTCGCTGTCTGGGAGCCGGTATTTTGCTAGCAGCCTTCAGATGGAGATGTAGAACTCTGGCTTCTCCTGCACCATGCCTGCCTGGATGCTGCCATGCTCCTGCCTTGATGATAATGGACTGAGTCTCTGAACCTGTAAGCCAGCCTCAATTAAATGGTGTCCTTATAAGAGTTGCCTTGGTCATGGTACCTATTCACAGCAGTAAAATCCTAAGACAGTGACCAAGTTGGCTTTATCTCTGAAATGCAGAAATAGTGCAGCACTTGCAAGTTAAAGTAATAAGCCACAAAAAGACAAAAATCATATGATCATTTTCCAAAGATTGACAGAATCCAACATGCCTTCATGATAAGGGCTATAGGAAACACAATAAAAGCTATATATGAAAAAACTACAGCCAACATCTTCCTCAATGAAGAGAAGTTTGAAGCAATTCCAGTGTCAGGAACAAGAAAGGAATGGCCACTGTGTCCACTCCTTTTCAGTACTGTCCCCAAAATAGTAGGTGAGCAATAAATCAAGAAAAGGAAATTAAAGGGATACAAGTAGGGAAAGAAGTCAAACTATACTATTTGCAGATGACATATACTGTAAATTAGAGATCCCCAAAATTGTACCAGAAAACTTGCAGAAACCATAAACTCAGCAACATGGGAGAATACAGAATCAACCTTCATAGCTTCTCTATCTGTACACCACTAACAACATACTAAGAAGGAGATCATGAACACAGTGGACTAAAAGAAAAGAAAATATCTAGGGGTAAACCTAAGCAAGGAAGTAAAGGGACCCTACAATGCAAACATTTAAGCCACTGAAGAAACAAATAAAGACACTTCAAGATGGAAAGGCTTCTCGTGCTCATGGCATGGTAGGATTAACATTGTAAAAATAACCATTCTACCAAAAGCTATCTACAGATTCAGTGTAATCTCAATCAAAATCCTCATCTCATTCTTAGCAGAAATATATATAATTACCTTAAAATGCAAAGGAACTACCAAAGACCCAAGACAGCTAAAACAATTTCGAGGAACCAAATTAAAAATCCAAACAAAAACAACCCCCTACAATGTTAGAGAGATTTTACTATTCCCAGTTTTAAGATGTATTACAGAGCCATAGAAGTAAAAAACAATATGGTACATGTTCACCAGTGAAACAAAATCGAAAACATAGCTTTATAACTTCATAACTTAACATAACTACATAACTTCAGCTACATAATATTTGACAGAGTTGCCAACAATATATTACAGAAAAATGAAAAGATCTTCAAAATATGGTGCTGGGAAAACTGGATGTCCACATGCAGAAGAATGAAATTAGACCCATATCTATCACCTTGCACAAAAATTAACTCCAAATGAACCACTAAACCTGAAACACTGAAACTGTTTGAAGAAAAGCTAAGCAGTTTCTTCTAATTATTTCTACATAATATAGATAGATGTAGGAAAGCACTTCCTGGATAGGACTCCATTTGCCCAAGAACTAAGGCCAACAAATAACAAGTGTAACTTTGTGAAACAAAGCTAAAAGAAACAAAGTGGGTGAAGAGAAAGTGCACAGAAGAATAGAATCTTTGCTAACTATACATCTGGCAGAGGATTAATATCTAGAATATAAAAAAAAGTCAAAACAACAAAAAAACCAAATTACTCATTTAAAAAAAAAAAAGAGTTCTCCAAAGAAGAAAAAAGAATAGCTAAGAAATTTCTCAAAAAACATCCATTGTCCCTAGTAATTAGAGGAATGCAAATCAAAACAACTTTGAGATTTCTTCTTAACCCAGTTAGGATGGCACAGATCAAAACTGACAACAAATACTGAAAGGAATGCAGGGCTGTAGGGACCCTCATTCACTGTTGGTAGGACTGCGAACTGGTGTAGCCACTGTGGAAATGAATTCGTAAAATTTACAAATAAACCCACCATATGACCCACTATCCCACTCCTAGGCATATGTCCAGCAGTCAACATTCTAGTCCACAGACACTTGTTCAGCCATGTTCATTGTTTGTCTAGTTACAGTAGCTAGGATGGAAACTATCTAGATGTTGTATAACTGAAGAATGGGTAATGGAAATGTGGTACATTTATACTATGAATTTTTTCTTTGAGTGATATAACCCCAGAAATACAAATGCCACATATTCTCATTCTCATTCATTCTCATTCATTCTCATTCATTCTCTCTCTCTCTATCTCTCTCTCTCTCTCTCTCTCTCTCTCTCTCTCTCTCTCTCTCTCTTCAAAGGCTAGCTCTAAATCTTCAGATATGAATAACATAGCCTATAGTTACTACAGAAAGTTGGAAAGTAAAACAGAGTCATTGTTGTAGTCATTGTTACAGTAGGGGAGGATGGGGGTGGAGATCAATAGAGAAAGGGATATCAGGGTACAAGTATTCATATCGTGGAAATGGGGTCAGGGGGATTCCTTAGGTGGGAGGAGGGAAGTAAATATACAAGATGGTGGGAAGAGAGTAAAATAGCCATAAGGGTGTCTGATAAAGCCATAAGGGGATGGGAGGCGCTTTTTGGGGAAGGGAAGAGGTAAATACAGAAGAAGGTGGAGGGGTAAAGGGGAATAATGTGATACAGATGATTTTGACAGTGGAAATGGGGAAGTGGGGTACCTTAGGAGTGAAAGGGGGGTTCATAAAGAGGAAGGAAGGAGGTAAGATAACAATATGGATGTCTGAAAAAGCCACAAGGAATCATGCTAGTCGCTATTTATCTGAGAATTAAAAAAAGAAACATACAATTCAGTGTAACTATCTGTAGTTTTAATGAACTTGACACAAACTGGAGTCATTTGAGAAGAAGGAGCCTCAGTTGGCAATGTGACCTCACTAGATTCATCAGTGGGCAAGTCTGTAGTGCATTGTCTTGATTGATGATTGATGTGAGTAGGCCCAGCTCACTGTGGGTTCTGCCCACTCTTAGGTTTTTTAAGAATGCAGGCTAAGCCGGGCACGCCTTTAATCCCAGCACTTGGGAGGCAGAGGCAGGCGGATTTCTGAGTTCCAGGCCAGCCTGGTCTACAGAGTGAGTTCCAGGACAGCCAGGGCTACACAGAGAAACCCTGTCTCGAAAACAAACAAACAAACAAAAAGAATGCAGGTTAAGCAAGCTATAGGGAGCAGACCAGGAGACAGGCTTCCACGGCTTCTGTTTTAGTTCCTGCCCTGACATCCTTGAATGGTGGACTTCTAGCTTTAAGATGAAATAAGCTCTTTTCAAGTTGATTTTGGTCACAGTGGGTATTGTATCACAGCAAGAGAAACCGTTACTAAGATAAATAGCAAAAAGTTCCATGTGCTGACATTAAGTGTTAGACAAAATGCTGTTTTAATGCACATATAGATGCTGTTTTATATTGTCTTAGTTAGGGTTTCTATTGCTGTGAAAAACACAATGACTGAAAGCATCTTAGGGAAAAAGGGTTTATTTTAATCTTATAACTCAGGTTACACCCCATCACTGAAGGAAGTCAGAGCAGGAACCTAGAGCACGAAATTGAAGCAGAAATTATGGAGGAACATTGCCTTCTGGCTTGCTCCTTGTAGCTTGTTCAACTTCCAGAATTGAAGAGTAGGGGTGTGTTGGGGGAGGGGGGGACAGCTCCAACAATTGACAGATTCCTGAGAGCAGATAAGGAGTTGGTGAGGGAGGAGTTAATCAGGCACAGTGGCTTCTTGCAGCTGTGACTGACTAGCATTCAGGTTTCTTCTTTATTTATACTGGTTTCACAGAACACAGACAGACTCATGGTTATCCAAGCAGTATAGATTATATCATTTTGTCTCTGGACATATGTTTGATTTTTCATTACATGTCTGGAGTTACAAGTTCAGTCACAGAAAGTACAAATAGAACAGATTTTATTATTATCAGCCCTATAACTCCAATTTGAAGAATCTAAAGAATGTCTCCTCTGAAGCAAACACATTTATTATATGACAGCCTGCTTTTAGGCTGGCAGTGTTTGCAGTTTGAAAGCACTCCAGACTAACAGAAAATATGCCCCGTTTATGAAATAACTATACCTATATGATACAGATTTTAAGACTTAAGAGATTATCAAAAATGTATAACAATTTGGGGATAAGGACTGCTTTTTATGTATTTTACTTTTTATGTATTTTACTTCTCTGTGTAGCCCTGGCTGTCCTGGAACTCATTCTGTAGACCAGGCTGGCCTCAAACTCAGAAATCCACCTGCCTCTGCCTCCCAAGTGCTAGGATTAAAGGTGTGTGCCACCACTACCCGGCTATATTTTAGACTTTTCTCTGATTTGAATTGTTTAGCTTGTCTGTATGCTGCTTCATTAGTGTAGTCTATTTAGAAAAGTCATTTATTTTACTCTTGTCTAATCTCTTTTCAGAGCAGTGGAAAGAGCTCAGTGCTGGAAAGCCTAGTGGGGAGGGACCTTCTTCCCAGAGGGACTGGTGTGGTCACCCGAAGACCTCTCATTCTGCAGCTGGTCCATGTTTCACCAGAAGATAAAAGAAAAACAACAGGAGAAGAAAATGGTAAATTTCATAGCTGGAATAAGAATTATTTTAAAATGGTACTCCTTCCCCCCGCCCCCCATTTTCAAGGTATGAATTTCAAAGAAAAAAGTTGATTAGTGAATTGGGTAGTAGTAGCTATAGCAAAATCAGAAATCTTTAGGAGTGGTGTCAATACTTTAATATGAACACTTGGGGAACAGAGACAGGTGGATCCCTAAGTTTAAGGCCAGGCTAGTCTACAGAGTAAGTTCTAGAACAGCTAAGGCTACACAGAGAAACCTTGTCTCGCAAAAAACCAAGACACACAAAATAATTTGCAATATGAAATGTTGAGTAAAGTTGAAGCTTCTTATTGTACTTGCCCTGTCCTGATAATCATCTCGTGTTCACTAATTTGGATTACACATTGGTTTAGTCTAAGAGAAGAGCTATTACTTATAGGAAGATCTCTTGGTTTTGTGAGATAAGGTGGTCCAAACTGGCTTCAGAACTACCTACCATATAGCTAAGAATGACCTCAAATTTGAGATCCTCCTGCTTCTACCTCCCAATTACCTGGTTACAAACAAATGCTACCAATGTCCAGTTATAGGAAGAGATTTGATTTTAAAAATATAAGTAATTTTATTCCTCTTTATAGTAAGGCTCCTCTATTATATACTATTGTACTTCTATAGGCCCTCCCTTTTGCCATGTTGTTTATACTACCTGAAGTGATGGGGTTTAATAGATGATGTGAGTAGTAAGACCAGAGTACGAGTCTATTCATGATTTTATACAGCTGAACCTGAAAACTAGAAACATTTTAAGAAATGTTCTCTATTAAGAAATTTTAAATTGTTTATGATTCATATTTACATCCTATATTTACCATATTAGTAAGTTTTGGAGTGTTTGAGAGTAATCCATTCAGTATCCTGTTCAGTTCAATATCTGACTTAGACACTGTTTCTTAACGTTCTGTAAAATTACTCTGCCTTTCAGAGAGTATATGTAGGGATTGCTGTAGCTGTTCTTACCTGCAGGGATTTTTTTTCAGTCTTGTTTATCTTCTGACCTGAGGTGGGGTGATAATATTACATCTGATTTTTTTCCCTGTTCATCATGGAAGATATTGGTGGTGATGACTCTGATTTTATTTTAAAGTAGGCAGAGAAACTTGTCGTGAGCATCTACTATGACTTTAAAACAGGGACTGCAAAATAACTGAAGAAAGTTAATGAGCTTGTAGATATTAATAGTAAGTAATATTTTATAATAGACAATCAGCTATATAGGAACTCTTTAATTACTAGGTATCTTCTTGATATACTAGTTACTTATATTTTAACATTTATTATTCATATTCTTTTTGTTTTATTTATTTTATTTTGTGACAAAGTCTACTACACAGCCCTTTCTGGCTTATGAAAGTTTGAACCTTGAATTTGATCATTCTTGGCTGACCTGTTGCTTAGCCTCAAATATCTAGAATAAAATTTTCAGAATTTTATCCTCACCAGTTACATCAAGCGCATTACCTAATACCTTAAACCAAGACTTTGAGAAACTTAGGGCTTTAGGTCTGGTTTTTTTCCTCAGCCATTTTTAAAGGGCAGTATCTCCATCAGAGAGTCTTTACAGATGTGATGTTTTCTTAAATAAATTGTTGCTTGTTAAGAAAAAACATAGACGGGGCCTGGTGAGATGGCTCAGCTGTTAAGAGCACTGACTGCTCTTCTAGAGGTCATGAGTTCAAATCCCAGCAACTACATGGTGGTTCACAACCACCTGCAATGAGATCTGATGCCCTCATACGGGTGTCTGGAGACAGCTATAGTGTACTTACATATAATAAATAAATAATAAAACAAACAAACAAACAAAGGATGGGAGATCAATCCCCACCAATCACCTGTGGCTCTGGATCCAGGGGATCTGATATTCTGGCCTCCTTAGGCTCCTGCATTCATGTCTGCAGACAAAGACATACACATAGCCAAGAATAAAACAAAACATAAAAAAAAGAAAGAAAGAAAGAAAGAACATAGACATGTTGGTTCCTTGGTATCACCTTGCTTATATGCCCATCGTGTTTTGTTGATGTGGGGGCAGGTCATGTAAAACTGCACATTTCTATCAGCATATATATTATTCCTGAGCTTATGCCCTGCTATATATGTGCGTTTACATACACGTGTGCATACATATATATGTCTTTGCATATAAAGAAAAATATCTATAGTGCTCCCACTTACTTACAGGGATAGCTACTTTTGAGTATAAAATAGATGCATATTTGAGTATTAAATTTCAATCTTATTCTACCATAATTCTTTGCTTCCTTTTTCTAAAGTTTTTTTTTTTAGTAACTTTTTTTTAAAAATGTTAATCAAAGGCTTTATAATTTTGGTAATGCTCAATAACAAGATGCCTATACATTCGGAAGTGTAACCCAATACCCAGCCTAGATATGCCAACTATCTTTGATTGGTGGAGACACGCGAACATCTGCCTCCATTTTTCTCCTTCCCCCTCCCTTTTTCTCCCTCCTCCTCTCTCCCGCCTCTCTCTTTCTCTCTCTCTTTCTTTCTCCCTCTCTCCTCATCTCCTAGCTCCTCCTCTCGTTCTCCTCCTCTCCTTACTCCTCCTCATCCTATCCCTACTCCTCCCACCTTAGCTCCTCCTATGTATCACCCTTCCTGTTAAAATAAAAGCAAAAAAATCTTTTCTTTCAAAATATAATTAGAGCATAACTATACCAGTTTTTATCAGTAAGGTACAAGATAGACCTAATACCCACTCCTTCATTTTGTTGATTAAAGAGAACCTCTGTCATCTCTCCTAACAGACTTAGCTCTGAACCTGGCTTTTTTCTTGGCTTTAGAATGAATGTCAGCTGAAAACCATCCTCTCAAATCTTTTCTCTCAAAATAAATAGCCAGGATTGGCTATGAGACTATAAGTCTTCAACCCTGTCATAAATCCAGAATGACTGAATTAACTGAAATTATGGGAAGCACAAACCATAGCTTCTAAAACTTAGCCAATTTATAGAGACTGCTGAACACTTGGACAGTCCCTATACTACAAAATGTTCGAGCATCTGATCTTCAGTCTTCTGGCCCAGGATCATCTGACAGACCTAGTAATGCAGAATTATTAAGAGCTGATTACTCTGTCTTGGCAGATATAATCAGTCGACTGTTCCACAAATGTGTTCTTTTCTGGACAGTAATTTGTCTGTAAATGAAAAGAGGCAATTCTTGCCTAGTCTCACCACAACTGGAGTAACTCCAAAGATGCTCAATTTCTTCTTAGAATCCAAGACAGGGAAGCTGTCAGGAGCAGACAGGTCTCTAATCAAAATGAACATTAATACAGAAGTGTTTATAACATCAATTCTGTGGACTTCTGACATTTTGAAAACCAACTATCCATGTAAGGCAATCTGGACTGTTGTCCATTAACTCCTCTCAGCTATTTCTAAATAAAATATAGAAAAAATCCTAACAATAAACTCAGAGCCATGAATTTGCTATAGGCCCATAACTCACAGGCTAACCATCTGAAATCAGTTAAAAAAAGTTGAAGAAGGACTGAGTCTAAGCCTTGTATTCCTAAATGTGTTATATAGGCACAATGCCTATGAGAGTAACAATATTAATCTCACTTTTATATCAGTAAGAAACTCGTACCAATGAAAACCTTAAATTTGAAATCAAAGTAAATTTTGTACCACTTAAGAAATTATAACTTCAGCTTAATAACAGTTTTACAGATTTCTACCAATAGGTTATCGCTATGCAGTAAATCCTAGCTATTCCTCCCTGTCCCAACAAAACCACTACTTTTCCCTAGAAAGACAGCCCAATATTAACCACCTGAGTCCCCAAGCCCAGGGAATAGGGGTGCCGACTTTCATTAACTTCTTCAAGCTGATTACAAGCGTTGAGATATTAGAAGAGGGGCAGGGAGAAGAGTAAAATGATAAGCCTCTGATGTCTGTGTCTTCACTACATCCAGCTGAAATTTGAGGACTTCAGAAGTTTGAGCAGGTCTGCTTATCTTGCTTGATGAGTAGATACACTGAGGCTGTGTATTCTGCAATATACAATTCTCAAAACAAATTTTAGTATCAAGATAATTTTTTCTTTGAATTCTGGAATCTAGTCTTCTGGTGGCCTGCCTCTGTCACATCTAATCCATATAATTCTGGGAGTTTCTATGAGGGTGTGTTCCCATCATCCTCCCATTCCCACCTCCCTGCTCTTGAATTACCCAATACGAGGGAATCCAAACTTTCAGGTTTCAAGGCCTTCCACTTCCACTGATGCCTGACAAGGCCACCCTCCAACTACCTATACAGTTGGAGCCATGAGTCCCTCCCTTTGTGTTCTCGGGCTGGAGGTTTTAGAATGTCTATTCCAGCTTGTTTCTTAGGACCATTTGCTTGAAAAATTGTTTTCCAGCCTTTTACTCCAAGGTGGTGTCTGTCTTTGTCACTGAGATGGGTTTCCTGTATGCAGCAAAATGCTGGGTCCTGTATCCAGTCTGCTAGCCTATGTCTTTTTCTTTTTTTTTGTGCGCGGGGGGGGGGGGAGGAATTGAGTCCATTGGTGTTAAGAGATATTAAGGAACAGTGATTGTTGCTTCTTGTTATTTTTGTTATTAGAGGTAGAATTATCTTTGTGTGGCTATCTTCGTTTGGATTTGTTGGAAGAGGATTACTTTCTTGCTCTTTCTAGGGTATACTTTCACTCCTTGTATTGGAGCTTTCCTACTATTATCCTTTGTAAAGCTGGGTTTGTGGAAAGATGTTGTATAAATTTTGTTTTGTCGTGGAATATCTTGGTTTCTCCACCTACGGTAATTGAGAGTTTTGCTGGGTATAGTATACTGGGCTGGCATTTGTGTTCTCTTAGGGTCTGTATTACATCTGTCCAGGATCTTGTGGATTTTATAGTCTCTGGTGAGAAGTCTGGTATAATTCTGATAGGTCTGCCTTTATATGTTACTCGGCCTTTTTCCCTTACTGCATTTAATATTCTTTCTTTGTTTTGTGCATTTGGTGTTTTGATTATTATGTGACAGGAGGTATTTCTTTTCTGGTCTAGTCTATTTGGAGTTCTCTAGGCTTCTGGTATGTTTATGGGCATCTCGTTCTTTAGGTTAGAGAAGTTTTCTTCTATAATTTTGTTGAAGGTATTTATTGGCCCTTTAAGTTGGGAATCTTTACTCTCATCTATACCTATTATCCTTAGGTTTGGTCTTCTCATTGTGTCTTGAATTTCCTGGATATTTTAAGAACTTTTTGTGTTTTGCGTTTTCTTTGACAGCTGTGTCAATATTTTCTATGATATCTTCTGCACCTGAGATTTTTCTCTTCTATCTCTTGTATTCTGTTGGTGATGCTTGCGTCTATGACTCCTGATTTCTTTCCTAGGTTTTCTATCTCCAAGTTAGTCTCCCTTTGTGATTTCTTTATTGTTTATACTTCCATTTTTATATCCTGGATGGTTTTGTTCAATTCCTTCACCTGTTTGGTTGTATTCTCTTGTAATTCTTTAAGGGATTTTTGTGTTTCCTCTTTAAAGGCTTCTACCTGTTTACCTGTGTTCTCCTCAAATTCTTTGATAGTGTTATTTATGTCCTTCTTACAGTCCTCTATCATCATCATTAGAAGTGATTTTAAAGCTGAATCTTGCTTTCCTGGTGATATGGGGAATTCAGGACTTTCTAGTGTGGGAGAACTAGGTTCTAATGGTGCCAAGTACCCTGGGTTGCTGACACTTATGTTCTTGCGCTTGTCTTTCGCCATCTGGATCTCCTTAGTGCTACCTGTGCTGTCTCTGACTGGAGCCTGTCTTTCCTATTATCTTGGTTGTGTCAGAACTGTTTGGGGTCGGTGTTACTACTGGGATTAGAGCTGGAGCCCAAGATCTGAGCAGTGCTCAGGCACAGACCGGAAGGAACCAGTGCTCCAGGCCAGGAGTGAATTTCTGGGTCCCAGTGGGTCCCAGTTGCTCTCTGTTTGGGGCGGGTATTGCTGTCTCCTTACCTAAGATACTGCCCAGGATAGAGCTCCTGGGAGGCCTGCTTCCTCTGGGCTTTATGAGATTGGGCGCAGAGCTGCCCGGGTTTTTTTTTGTTTTGTTTTGTTTTGTTTTGTTACATTTCTATTTTATGTATGGATAAGTCTGTGTGGATATGGTATGTGTGTCCTATGGTAAGTGTGCTCCAGTCAGAGGCCAACTTTGGAGAATTAACCGTCTCCTACCATGTGGGTCCTGGGGCTGGAACTCAGGAAATCAAGCTAGGCAGCAGGTGTTACCTCTTGAAACACCTTGCTGGCTATCCTTACCTTCTCATCAAAGCCACTTGGTTCTTTACATAAGCAGTTTAGGCTTATTAAATCATTCTGATGTGGAAGTCAAGAACTAATAAAACAGATTAACATTCAGTTTGGATTTTAAGAACATGAACAGTGAGAGAAAATAATTTTGAAGAAAGTATAACAAATAAAAGCCATTAAAAAGTTAACAACAAACCCCAAACCTTTTTGTAAATGGTTCTTTTTAATTTTTTACAGTTCCACTTTTATTTATTTAATTTATTAGTTTAAATCCATGAAGGGTACAGCCTCTCAGATTCTGTCCAGTGGCCTTTGCAAGGAACTTCACTTTGGAATTAAGAAGAAACTATTCCACTGTTTCTATGGGCCTGAGTTACCAAGATTACTCTTTATTTTGTTCAGGTTGACTCCAGGAGTCAGTATTGTTTTTTTGCTTTATACACGTAAGTGCATCTCTTGCATAAAAGAATTCAGTTTCATCTTGGTTATAAAACCTTATTATAAAAGCTCCTTGAGGTTTTCACATAAGCAAGGTCCAGTTACCAGTAATGGGGTAAGAGCAGCACATTGTAAGATGAAACAAAGTATCATTTTAAACTGAGGTCTATGAAAGCTGGCTAAAATATCTGTGTTTAATGTATGCAGTTAATAGGAAATACAAGAATTGTGACAGTAGATTCCTGTTGTATCAAGATCATATACATTTGAAGTGTTGTGTTTTGCTAAATGCAATTTATATTTCAAAGAAATTACCCTTATAAACAGTCATTTTTAGCAAATAGGCATTTGCTTATTAATTGCATTTAACAAATAGCATTTACTTACTAATTCTGAAAGTTTCAAAGGATGTACTTATCATATTTCCTAGGCTCTTTTAAACCAGACAGTTTATCTTTTTCCACAATAGGCTTTCAGATATCTCAGGGAAACTTTTTGAGAGTAAAATGAAAATTTATTTACTAAAATTCTTAAAAAGTTGAAGCATCACACACAATGTTCAAATTATTAGTATAAGAAATATATTTCTTCTTATGATTCTAATACGTTTTGAGTAATTAAATGCTTATGCACATTTGAAGTATAATCATGTTTCTACACATTTGAGTTTTTTAAAGGTTTAAAGTTTTAGGGATAAGCACTAAAATTACTTTGTGCTATTTCTCTTTAACTACAGACCCTGCTACATGGAAAACCTCAAGACACCTTTCTAAAGGTTTCCTGTATCCATTTGTTTTTAGCCCTCCTTCTCTTTTTTTTATGCCTGCATGTGTGCTTATGTACCCTTACAGGCTGTGTGTACCTTTTTTCTTCCATTTTTATTTGCCTGTTTACAGTGATTACAGGTTTTGGTGGTTCTTGTTAGTGTTTTGGCATTGCATTAACATGCAAACCTTTTTGGTGGTAGAATTTAATTTTTACAAAAACATAACTGAAGATACTGAAACTTTTATATGGCCAATTATGTTAAAATGTCCCTTTTGTATGTAGTAGTGCCTTTGTGAGTTCTGTCACCTAGATTAATCTGGTCTTTCAAAGGTCCTTTTTAGAAGAAGGTTCTAAGCTTCAAGTAGGTGAACATTTTATTTGCAAAAAGGATCTGGTTTTATATACCTTCATTAAGATATTTAAGCTTCCGAATTTGGTGAAGGCAGAATAGCAATGCTGGGGTAAGATGTCAGGAGTAGACTGTGACTGGAAACTAGCCAGGTGTCAGTTCCTTACATACATATATACTTCTACTTTCACTCATTTTGCGCTCATTTCTGTTCTATAATTCCATGAGAAAATACAGACTTGACCTTGGGAGAAATCACATTGGCAGTCTGCATTACAAGACAGCTACTACCCTGTAACTGAGAGCTTTATGTGCAGTCAACAAAAAAAAACAAAAGACAATGATTTTAAAAAATGAAAACTTAACTATTTCATTCATATATTGCATGTATATTTTAACTTTAATGTTATGTACACATTTGCTATGATTATTTTGCATTATACAATGGGGTTTTTAATTTTTCTTTCTAGCTCTTTAAATTTTTTGATTGGATAAGTTGCTTTCATATATACGATGTATAAAGAAATCATAATCACAAATAAGAAATGAACAATTTAGTTGTAAAAAAATTGTTTTCAAATTCTGGGACAACTTGCAGGCAACTCTACTTGAAGTTAGTCCTGCCTTTGTAGGCTGTGTCGTGCTTTAAAAATGTGAATGTGTATTTAGCAGATCCTAAACTTAAAACATTTGTTAACTTGTAGTTTAAAAACAAACGTTTACTACATTATCTTTTTAAATTCCTAATTATAAAATCTAATTTCCAGTCTTTAAGAAATGAGTCTTTCTTTCTCTAGGAGTTGAAGCAGAAGAATGGGGTAAATTTCTTCACACCAAAAACAAGGTAATCACTGAGTAATATAATGAAATAACATAGAAAATAACTATTTTGCAAAGAAAGTAAGGAATAGTTTCTTACTGGAAGTGTGTTTTTTGTTTCCTGTAAAATAGAACTTTTCTCAGTAATGCTTCTAACTGCAGTAGTTTAACTTGACTTGATCCTGTCTAATTTGGAGATTTTTAAATATTGTGACATCAGGCAACTTTGACACAAATCTTAGAAAAATGTATGTGTGTGTGAAAAATGTGGACTAATTTTCTGCAGTAAAGCCATATATATTCTTTAAATGTGGCCTCTACCCCTTAAGAATGTCTGATCTTATTTAGTATCTGGTTGTTTTTGTTTCAATAATTTTTAGCTTTACACAGATTTTGATGAAATTCGACAAGAAATTGAAAATGAAACGGAAAGAATTTCAGGAAATAATAAGGTAGGCATTATTTCAAACCTGGAAGACTTTTTAAAAAGTAAATATATTGCTGAATACTTTCTATATATAATAATATATAAGTGTATTGCAAAGTCACAGTCTTCCTCTCCTCTAGTACTGACAGTGAATGTGGGGCCTAGTACATGCTAGGTAAGTGTTCTTCCACTGAGCTATATTCTAAAGCCTTATTATTATTATTATTATTATTATTATTATTATTATTTTTTTTTTTGAGACTGTCTTATGAAATTACCCAGGCTAGTCTTGAACTTGGGATACACCTGTTTCACCTTCCTGAGTAGCTGGAAATTATAGTCTTGTGTTGCCAAGGTTGGTTTATAACTTTATAATCTTAATGTTTTTTAAAAAATGAAATAGTCATGCCAGGCAGTGGTGGCCACACCTTTTATTCCAGCACTTGGGAGGCAGAGGCAGGTAGCCAGACTGGTCTACAGAGAGAGTTCCAGGACAGCCAAGGCTACACAGAGAAACTCTGTCTCAGACAACAAAACAACAACAACAAATGGAATATTCCACAAACATATAAAAACTTAGGTGAATAATTATCTCTCTTGTAAGTGGTTTATATCTGAATTCCCAGGATTGGGGTAGTAGAGGCAGACGGATGTCTGGGCAGTTTGAGCTACACACTGAAATAGTTTTGTAAACACCAAAGGCTAGGGACATAGCTCAGTGGTAGACTGTTTAATGGAAAGCCATGAACTATATCTCCAGCAGCACACAAAAGCAAGGGGGAAGGAAGGGTTTTTTTTTTCCCATTTTCAGTCCACTGTCGCAGGGAAGTCACAGCAACAAAAACTTGAAGCAGCTGCTCACATACATGTTCAGAATCAGAAGAGAATATTGAGTGCATAAATACATTCTAATTTTTAACTGTCTTTTTCTACTTATATAGCTGAGGTACCAATCACAATTCAGATATTCTCTAACTCAGGAGTGATAAGGACCATCTCCTATAGCTATGCCCTTTTCCCAGGTCATTCTAGTTTCTGCCAAGTCAACAGTTAATATGGATTGTGTGACACAAATATATGTGTGCACACATAAACACATACACACACCTTAAAACTTTTATACAAATAAAATATTTCATTTATATTTTGTGAACTTAATTGTTTACAGTCAAATATTTTCTAAGAATGTGAGAATTTAAATGAAGTGTCTAGGATACTTTTAATGTCAAAATCAGCCTCATTTAAATCCTTTTTATGCCTTTTATTGTAATTACTGTTTTCTGTGTGTATTTATTGCTATTCTGTGTTATCTGTAGGAACACTGAATCTCACAAGTGACCTTGAGCCTACTGATAATATTCAGTATATATTTGTTGCCAGATAGTGTGATGTAGTAGTTACTTCCTGAACAGAAAGATATTTTGCAGCAATGTCAAGGCTGTGTGCCAGCTGAAAATATTTGTCTCTTTCAGTAACACTGCTTTGCTGATTGTCAAACTCTCAGCTGGCACCTTGGAGTTACTGCTGTTGCCACCACACTTCCCTAAATGTTTTATACCAGTTGTACCTGGAATATGACAGGAATATAACTAGATTATGTCAGGGATGGCTTTTTGTCTTGGGGATCTGAAATTTGAGATACATTGCTTGAGCAAACTCACTGTGTATGTACAATTTTGCCACTTGATGTTCAAATATCTGTGACCAAATTAATGAGAATATCTTCTTATCTATTACTCTCTCAATTTAGCATCATCAGTTCAGGAACACCATAATTTTGGATAAATGAAAAATGCATTATTTTTAAGTACTTAGTCTGTTAAACTCTTTTTTAAATTGACATATACATATAAAAAAGTGAAATGGTATAGGGAGGGCTGGAGAAATGTCTGAGTGGTTAAAACACTGACTGCTCTTCCAGAGGTCCTGAGTGCAATTCCCAGCAACCACATGGTGGCTCAGAACCATCTGTAATGGGATCCAATGTCCTCTCCTGGTGTATCTGAAGACAGCTGCAGTGTACTCTATAAATAAAATAAATAAATCTAAAAGGAAGGGGGGGGGGGTGGCAGGAAGGAAGGGTATAGGGAGAAGAAATGTTTCTATATTAATGGTATGAGGTGGTGTAGGATGATAATCCTCCTCATTTGATTGGCTGCCTTCTCATTCATAGTACTCATTAAACTTTTATTATTGAAAGATTTTAGGACCATAGTTTAATAGATATTTTAAGACATCTAAAGTCTATGTACTTGAATGTAGTTTACTCTAGCATTTTATAATCCATTGAAGTTCAAAGTGATTGTAATATATTTGAAACTTGTTTTTAGGGAGTAAGCCCTGAGCCAATCCATCTCAAGGTTTTCTCGCCCAATGTTGTCAACCTGACCCTTGTGGATTTGCCGGGAATGACCAAAGTAAGGAATAGCTGTTGCTTGTGTTTTCGTTTAAAGGAATGTGTTTTGTTTTTTGTTTAACATTAACCTAAAGAGAATATTGAGTTGACTTCACACTTATTGTTATCAGATCATTTTATATAGTTGAGCCCTTCTTTCTCCTTAAAACACTTTATTTATCTTGGCTCCCAGGGTATTGTATCTACAGTTTCATCTGTAATCTTGCTGGCCACTACTTTTCAGTGTCTTTTTCTGGTTTCTTCTCATCTCACCAAAGTCTGTAATTAGAGTTCATTTTTTTGGACCTCTTGTCCTCTTAAATTAAATACTTATAACACAGTCTAATTAGGTTGATAGTGTTATCAGATCTTATAGCTTTAAATGCATGAATGTGAATATTCAGATTATTTTCAGCTATTTACGTGCTCAGCTGTCCACTTGGCTTACACACTTGTTTTAATACGCATCACACCTTTACTGTGTCTAATACCAAGTTCCTGATCTGTCCTTTAACTATGTTTGATCCTTCTGTCATCTTCCCTATCTGAATAAATGGCAATTCCACTGTTCTATTTAATCAGCCAAAACCTTACAGTCATCATTGAAATTTCTTTACCTTCTATCTCTCTTCCTTGCAGTAAATCCTCTGGGCTTTCCTTATTTTTACAATAGATCCAGAATTCCATCACCTCCATGTATGTCCATGGCAGATGTAGTAGCTCTTGTTATTTCACTTAAGTTCTTATAAATATCTATTCCTGTTTTGTTCTCTCACGTCGTGAGTTAGTTTGTGTATTTAAGCATCTCAGGATGGTCTTTAACCATCTGTAGTGGAGAATGACTCTGAACTCCCTATCTTCTGCTCTCCTATATCCTGGGGTTACAGGCCACCACACTCAGCTTATGTATTATTCATCTTTAATTTCTTTTGTTCTGGGTGTCCACCCTTGTTAGTCACTCAGTATGGAATGTTCTTTCACCAGATATCTGTGTCTTTTTTTGTCTTTAATCTCTGCTCAGTCACCTAAACATCATTATCTAATTGAGGTAGATCTTGATTATTCTGTTTTTAAACATCATTTAAAGCAAGAATTTAAAAGCATCATTCCCCAGCCTCTGTTCTGTGGTGCTCTACTCTATGTTCTTGTTAGCCCTGTCTGCCACTTGGATGATAAATTTGTGTGTGCTTTATTATTTACTTTTTTATTATTTGTGTGTGCTTATTATCACTAAGACAGCACATCTATATGCAGTTGATACTCAGCAGCTCTTGACATGGTTTATACAGTAGTGAATTTTTGATATTTGGAAGTCACGTTTTGAGGCCTTACCCATTACCAGATTCACAAATACCTCTATAGCACATTATTAACTTATTTTAGCTATTTGTAGGTACAGAAATACCTATATTCTATGAATTAAATGCATGGAAAAAGTTGAGTTGCTTTTGATTATAGTTCATCTTTGTTTGGTCTAGGTCCCTGTAGGTGACCAACCCAAGGATATTGAGCTTCAAATCAGAGAACTTATTCTTCGGTTCATCAGTAATCCCAATTCCATTATCCTTGCTGTCACTGCTGCAAATACAGATATGGCAACATCTGAGGCACTCAAGATTTCCAGAGAGGTAGATCCAGATGGTAAGGACAGATGTTTATATTTAATGAATGTTGATTTACAGTGGTAAATCTTTCCTCAAGAAAAGAATTTTATTGAAAGGAGTGTATTCAGTTAATAGAGATCTTAAAATATTTTCTTACTTTTCTGATAAATAGCAATTAAATGGAAAATAGTTACTTGATTGCTATAAAGGATAGGCAAAAACAGTTCCCCATAAGGTATATATTTTCAGTAGGTACCCAATTATAATTTTAATATCAAATTACTTTGTAAAATGTTTCCTTATCTGTGTAAATGAAATTTTAATTTTTGAATAACCAACATTTAAGAATAAATAACTCATAATTGTATAGATTATTATGATACAGGTAATAATTACAGAATCTACTTTCTGCAGATTAAAAAAAAACACTAGACAAGTTCAGTATAGAGGAAAGTCTTGTAAGGCATCTCTTTTTAAAAATCATTCTTTTTATCAATCGTTTATATTAGCCAGATCGGGATTCAGTGATACTTAGGATATTAGAGGTGTCTCTGAGCCTGTATGAATTGCTAGCTTTATAAGTGAGTGGGTAATTGACCGATAAGGAAACTATTTTGAAACCTAGATTCTTGAAGACCCAACATCTATGTTACAGGGTTTTTTCTGCTTTCAAAAACAATTTCAAATAAAAATGTGATAGAGACTTCCATAATTAGGTATGGTGATACACACCTGTAGGCCTAGCACTTGGGAAGAACAGGAAAAGGTCATCTTCAGATACAGTGAATTTGGGGCTAGCTATATCTGAAACCCTGACTCTAAATAAATACATACATACATACATACATACATACATACATACATAAATCAAATAATCATGCAAAGATGGAGATACATTTGATCTAGTAATTTGTTTGTTTGGTTTGAGGGGATGGTTGGTTTTTTGTTTTGTGTTCTGTTGTTTTAAGACAATACCCCACTATCCCCTGGCTGCCCTGGAACTTGTTATGTAGATGATCTAATAATCTAAATTGGCAATACATTACAGAGAAGTAATTTCAACTAGTATTAATATATAATATCAAAAATTTAGTAGTGAGGCTGGAGAGATATCAGTTGCAAATGTGTCTCCAGTGCAAGAGTGGGGGGACCCAGGTTCACATCCCTAGAAGGCAGGCACAACGGAACACCTTAGCAGCTCCAGTGCCCAAGGCAGAAGGAGAAGGGCAGCCCCCGGAGCTTACTGTTCAGCCAGTATAGCCAATAGATGAGTTCCAAACTTCAGTGAGAGACCTTGTCTCAAAAAATAGAAGGGGTTTGATGTCTCATACACAGACAACCCGACAGGAAGAACAATAATATCAATTAACCAGACCCCCCCAGAGCTCACAGGGACTAAACCACAAACCAAAGAGTACACATGGAGGAACCCATGACTCCAGACCCATATGTAACAGAGGAGGGCCATCAATGGGAGGAGAGGCCCTTGGTGCTGTGAAGGCTCCATGCCCCAGTGTAGGAGAATGCCAGGGTGGTGAGGTGGGAGTGGGTGGCTGGGTGGAAGAGCACCATCATAAAAGCAGGGGGAGGGGGAAGAGATGGGGGTGTCTGAAGGGGAAACCAGGAAAGGTGATAACATTTGAAATGTAAATAAATAAAATATCTAATAAAAAAATTAAATTGAAACTCAGAAACTTAAAAAAAAAGAAATAGGATGGAAGGTAATTGAGGAAGACATCCCATGTATGAACTCTACATCAATACACATTCATAGCACATACATACAAAAGCAATTAGGTCAATTTAGAAGTAGCTTCTTAACGGGGATAAGATAATGTGAAATGACTATAAGTGATGATTTGTAGATTGGGAACAAAAGAAAAATGTCCATAACTGGGAAATGCCTGTTTGAAGCTGTACCCCCAGAGCAGCTGGGATCGTTACACATATTGATGTGGTGTGCGGCATTTACTTTGGGAAAGAAGAACAACTCCAGTCACCAACTGCATGTTACGTTTTCATATGGAAACATCTCTGGAGCCTGGAGAGCTAGCACATACAGTACTGGCAATCCAGGAAGCTGAGGCAGAGGGATTACAGGTTGAGGTTAGCTCAGGCTGTTGTCCACTCAGAGAGATCCTATTTCAAACATCTGGGGTGTAGCAGATTTTTGGCTTAGCAAGTAAATTGTTTAGCAAGTAAAGGCTCTTGCTGCTTAGTCTGATGATCTGAAAGGAGAAAACAACTCTTGAAAGTTGTCCTTTGAACTCATATGCCCTTTTGACTCCTTCCATCCCAAAAATAAATGGATAAATGAATTTTTTAAACTATCCTTTTGAATACTAACATCTATGTTGAGTTTATTCATAGTTCCCCCAAAACTAAAAACTCAAATATTTCTCAAATCAGGAATGAATAGCCAACTTAGTACACCCATGTAATACAGAACGCTGTTCAACAGTGATAGCTGATGTCCACTAAACTGTGGGCAGCACTCAGATGAGTCATGATGAATGAAGGACATCATTGACATTCTCCTTTCACCTAACATTCCAAGACATACAAAAGTCGGACTGGAAGACAGATTTGGTTGCTTTGCAAAAGGACATTGCCAGGTGGTGCTGCTGCTATATATTAAAGTAATATGTTCTTGTCAGAAAGAACCAAATTAGAATCTGGGGGTGTGATTCACTAGTTATTTAGCTTGCCCAAGGCCCAAGGTTTCTTCCACAGAACTGCCAAAGGGGTTAGGCAGGGGCAGGATTCTACATAGTAAATAACTACAGCTCCAAGAGATCCCACATTCTCTTATGTCCTCCAAGGATATCACCAGAACATGTGTGCACGTACAAACATGTAGATCCACACATACACATAAATAAAAATAGTTTAAAAAAATAGTAAATTTTAAAGTGTAAAATGGGTAGAGATGTTGACCTAAGAAATAATAAGAAATTACTTATGGAGCTAGAGAGTTGATTCTGGTTAAGAGCTCTTGCTAATCTTGCAGTAGACAAGAGTAGTTTAGAGTTTAGAGGACAAGAGTTCCCAGCACCTATATTACTATCTATATATAACTAACTCCAGAGGATCTACCACCCTCTCGTGCCCCCCCCCTTTGCATGCACAAATAGACATACTCATTTGCACACAATTTTTAAAAGTTATTTTTAAAAATTACTCATGAAAACAAGTTTTTAAATTGTATGCCATATTTAAGTTTATTTTACTGGAAGCAAAGAGTAGAAAAATATTTTACAAAATGGTAAAGGAGGCAATGTGTTAAAGAGAACTATAGATAAAATTTTTCCTTTACTAAACTTAATGCTGTTTTTATAATGGATCTCTCCTCCCCTTTTTATATTTACCAGGGCGCAGAACTCTAGCCGTAATCACCAAACTTGATCTCATGGATGCGGGTACTGATGCCATGGATGTACTGATGGGCAGGGTTATTCCAGTCAAGCTTGGAATAATTGGAGTAGTTAACAGGTTAGCAATTTAATTGGAATAAAGGGGCTGGAGAATTGGTTCTGTGGTTAAGAACACTTGTTAGTCTTACAGAGGACCAGAGTTTGATTCCCAGCATACCCACATTGAGCAACTCACAACCACTTAAAACCACAGCTTCCTTTTCTGTCCTCCAAGGATACCACCAGCATACATGTGCTCATATAAACATGCAGATGCACACATATCCACATAAATAAAAATAAAGTCTTTTTTTCTTAAAGAATAGGATAAGAATCATAGCATTCTCATTTCAAAGCAAGACTGAATTTTTGAAAATTAGTCTGAAACGTGATACTATCCTGTTTTCCCCTCCTGTTGTAATGCTTATATTGCTGCAGAGGTTAATGCACTATAAAGAGATGAGGTTCATAATATCTCTCTTGAGTATTTTTGTGGGTTTTGGTGGTGGTTTTGGTTTTTTAAGTATTAACCTATATGTGGAGGTCAGAGGACAATTGGCAGGACTCAGTTTTCTCTTTCTCCCATTTCGGTTTTGGGGTTTAAACTTGGGTATCAGGCTCGACAGCAAGTGCTTTTACACAGTCACTTCCAAGGCCCTTTTTAAAAATTATTCTTCCTCTCTGAGTTTTCTAATGAAAAAAAATGTTTCTAAGGTAATCAGTAAACAAAACAGGAGATGATTTAATAATTAGCTTTTACAAATTCTTGCCTGCTATTTAAATTATGTATAAGAGCATTGGATAAAGAAAAAAAGCATTATCTAATTTGTGCCCAATCAAGAAAATTTAAAGGTAGTGGAATTATAATAATTATTTTAACCCCATATAATTAGTAATACTCTGTAATTGCCAGAATGTAACTTGGTAACTTTAAAGATACATCGTAAAAATTGCTGGCATTAAAAACTATAGCACAGCTGGGCAATCGTGGCACATGCCTTTAGTCCCAGCACTTGGGAGGCAGAGGCAGGTGGATTTCTGAGTTCGAGGCCAGCCTGGTCTACAGAGTGAGTTCCAAGACAGCCAGGGCTATACAGAGAAACACTGTCCTGAAAAAAAAAAACAAAAAAAAACAAAAAAAAAAAACCAAGAAACAAAAACAAAACTATAGAACAGAAACAAACCAGCTGCTACTGTTGAGCATCTCTTGTACAGTGAGCAGTTTGCAATGGATTGTTAGAATTCTCACAGGGTGGCAGGGCTAGTGTGAAGCAGTGACAGTTTCTCTGAGGTCAGGGATTCTCTATGGTAATGAAACTATTTGTCAAGAGACCGAGTTCCAATACTAGTTTCTACATGGTCTGGATATAGTAGAGTTTAAATCACTTGTAACATCTTTGGCCCTCAGGTCATTTAAAAACTAAAATACTTTATTAAGTGATATATAAGGTCCATTCCAAATGTCTCTGTATGTTCCTCCATACATTCCTTTCCACATTTAAATAAAACATATGTATTTTCTTTTCAGTCAAGAATGTGCTGTATATACTATTGCATACTATGTTTGTAGATAAATACACTTTAAATTAGCTTTTTTATTTTTGTAAATTAGTCATCTTCCCATGGATAAAATATACACCTAGATTTTGTATGCAATCTACAGCTTTCTTAAGGATACTGCTTTTGCTTATGGTTACTAGTAACAATGAAGCTGATACTATTCATCTTAAGTTCAGTCATACAGTTCAAATCTTGGCTGTCTGTGCCTTCCTTGGGTGAGTTCATTGAGACATCAGTGCCTTGTGTAAACTGTAATGATGATGCCTCCTCCAGAGGATCACTCGAGGAGTAAGTAAACAGCCGTGTTAGAAATCAGGCGACATCATCTGATGCAGCCGCTGATCCAAAGCAGACTCTAGTTGAACAACTTTGTTATTTTTCAACCATAGGAGCCAACTTGATATTAACAATAAGAAGAGTGTAACTGATTCAATTCGTGATGAATATGCTTTTCTTCAAAAGAAGTACCCATCTCTGGCCAACAGAAATGGAACAAAGTATCTTGCTAGGACCCTGAATAGGTAACATTTTCACTTTTTGAAGATGAAGTGTTTGTTTTGCCAACAGTTATCCCAGAATGTTCCTGTTTTGTTTCATATCTTTTCATACTGTTCCCTCCAGCTTCACTTCTGGGATCCTGTGAAGCAAATGTCTGGTTTTATTGGGATATTTAATATTAAATCATATAGTCTGGAGTAAGTATTCTTAACTGGGAAGTGGGTTGGTTTTTTTTTTTTTCAATTCAAACTCATTTCCGAAATTACTACTATATGGTTTAATACTCAAAATTTGTTCAAATAAAACATTTTCAGTAGTGTTTACAATCAAGTAGCAATAGCAGAAATCTTTGTGAAGCCCATGAAAGGGAGTTTACATTTTGTTGAAGCCCAGATCCTCTGGAGTGGAGATTTCCAGTTCATTTAAAGTTGATCGAAGTTCCTGATTGGGGTAAATTTGCTTATGGGGTCTTCCTTTCTCCTTAACAACATCCAGAATGCAAATAGCACCAGTAAAATCATTTAACTGTTCACATGCTCACAAACCAGCACCAGTGATTCAGGGCTTAGAGTCATACCTTAGTGGAGTCTGTTCATCTCTTTGTGCAGTTCATAGCCATCTGTTTCCGGCTTGTTGAAGTGTCATTTAATGAAATCAAAATACGCATCTGTTTTATGTGAGCCATGAGAACAGCAGCAAGCTGACTGGACAACATCAATGGCCAGTGTTGAATGCAGGAAGTTTTGGGGACTGATGTCAGCAGGACAGTTGCCACCACAGACCTTGACTGAGCAGTTAAGAATAATTTAATAGGATTTTGAACTTTACTGAGATAGTAAATGACTTCCAAACACTTTAGATCTTATGAGTTTAATTTAAAATTTTTAGTTATCACATGGTATGCTTCAGATGTCACATGTGATATTCATGTGACAAAATAATTCAGAATTACTTTAGCATTTATTCATAATAGAAATAACATGAGTTCCATACCTGCTGTTCTGAATATCTACTCATGGTATAGGAACTAAAAGCCTTCCTTTTATATAAGTGACTAGAGTGAAAACAATTATCTTATCCTATAAATTGAAGGAATTTGGATCTTAGTAAGATGGATTTTTTTTTATACTATGCTAAGTACCTGTTGTAAAAGAGAAGTTATTAAACCAAAATTATAGGTAGAATTGAACTGAGTAGCTTACTTTAGATTACTATGACATAAAAATAATGTACATTGTTTGTTTTATTTGTGGTTTTCTAGCAACCACTAGACTTGGTAGGCTAAAGGTATATGTCAAAAGAATTGACCAAAACAGTTTTTGTGTAATTTTTTTAGACTAAGGACCTCTAATTTAAGATTGCTGTATTTCTTGTTCTTGTGCTATGGTGGAGGAGCTAAAAAAATATTTTCTTATTCTTATAGTTACTCAGATGAACAGAGTACTTCTGACAGAGTTATATAGGGTTTTCCCCATATACTGTACAAGGTGATTCTTTGGTAGATTGTAGATGTCCTCTAATTCACTTCTGACACTATTTACATAGAGTCATTATCACATCCTATAGGCTAAGGCCTCAGTTTTTTATAGGATTTCCTTCTACTTAAGATGTCAAGTGACAGCAAAGGTTATGGATGTGTTTCTTATTAGCTATATTCCCTGGAATAGGGATAGGCTTCAGGGGATATTTGTTTGCTCAGGTATAATAAAAGATTATTATAAAGGACAGGTAAACCAGTTAGAAGAGATAGATAAGGTAAGATATTGGAATATTAAAAAGTGAGCCAAGGCTTTATACCCTTTCTTAGGCATGCCGTGCTGCATAACCTTTTTAATTTCATGAAGTCTCTGCTTGAGTCTCTGCTTGAGTTATAGCAGCTTCCTCTTACAGATATGATTAATTACTTCACTAGCCATTGGTGATCAAGACATTTGGGATTGAACATCCCAATCCTTCAATCTTTTGGTAACCAGCCACCATTCCTCAGACACTTTTAAGATCTCAATACTAGAAGGTTTTCCCTTTTTTACAGATTTTTAACTGACTTGTTTAAAGTATCAGAATACCTAATTTTATGCTAAAACCCTGCTTTTCTAATCTTTCAGGTTACTTATGCATCATATCAGAGATTGTTTACCAGAGCTAAAAACAAGAATAAATGTCTTAGCTGCTCAGTATCAGTCTCTTCTAAATAGCTATGGTGAACCCGTGGATGATAAAAGTGCTACTTTACTCCAACTTATTACCAAATTTGCCACAGAGTATTGTAACACGATTGAAGGAACTGCAAAGTACATCGAAACTTCTGAGCTGTAAGTGAGGAGTTTTTGAAAAGATTTGGTTTCTTGGATTATAAGGGTCTTTGAAGTGACTTAGATCATCTGTGATTTATTATCCATAAAAGAGGAATATAAATTTGTAGAAATGACAGGAGGAATATTGTGTCATATGTTTACAAATTATGTAAAAACATGGTAAAGTTACAGGTTTTTTGAAAAGCAACTTTTTTTTACTTTTTTAAAAAGATATCCCCACTGTTTCTCAGGCTGTCCTCAAACTCATGATCCTCCTGTCTCAGCTTCTTAAATAGCTAGAATTGTAAGGCTATGCCATAGTGTCAGGCTTTGAAGTGGTTCTTTTTTTTTTTTTAAATTTTTAAAGTAAAATTCATTTCCCCTAACTCCCCCCCTCCCCCATCCTGTGGCACAGCAGACATGTGGAGGTCAAAAGACAACCATCAGAAGTTGACTCTCTCCTGCCACTTTGTGGGACTGACGGACTGAGCTTGGGCTGTCAAGCCTCGGAAGGGGCAAACGAACATCTATTCACCCCAGATATCCACCAGTGACTGATTTCACCAGAGTCCAACTGGATGAGACTAATGAGTGTATTCAGCTTATTTACAGAGCACATGTAAAGTTAGCTACAGAAGTGTGAGTAATAGCTATATTGATGCCATGTCTCACGCCATGCTAATGGCAGTCTCATGGATTCTGCATTACATGCCCCACCTTCAATCATGGTTTCACTTCCTTTCCTAGTCTCCCATCTCCCAAGATGACTTGCAGCTGGGGGAGGGAATAATTTCTGGAATCCCTGGTGAGAATCTCCCAATTTCTCTACAGCATGTTTCTCAACCTATGAGTCATGATCCCTTTGAGGGTTGACTGACTTTCATAGGGGTTACCTAAGACCATCAGAAAACACATATTTTTATTTTGATTCATAATGGCAAAATTACAATTACAAAGTAGCAACAAAAATAACTATAGTTGTGAGTGAACACAACATGAAGAATTGTATTAACGAGTCACAGCATTAGGAAGGTTGAGGGTCACTGCTCTATACAGAATGTCAGTAGCTCCACTAATATTGCCATAGACCTAGCTACCACTGTTATTGTTCTGCTCTAGTTTCCAAGACTATCAGGGTAAAGTCCAAGATAGCTTCTTGTTACTATGTAACACTTTCTAAGCCATCTCACCAGCTTTTAACCTTTAAAATTGTATTAGTGATTTTTCTATTGCTGTGATAGAACACCCAGACCAAGGCAACTTGCAACTTACATTAGGAAGTGGTTTTGTTTGGCCTGATGGTTCCCAAGGGACTAAGAGTCCATCACCATTACAGTGGGGAGATGTGGCAGCAAGCAGGTGTGGTGCTAGAGCAGCAAGCTGGGAATAAACTACGGTGGAGTGTAGCTTTGAAACTTCACAGACTAACCCCAGTGACATCCTTCCTCAGCAAGGCCAAACCTAAACCTACCCAAACAGTGCCACCAACTGGAGAGAAGGATTCAAACATCTGAACAGTCATATCCAAACCAGCAGAATAATCATGCTTAAACTAAGTAGAGTATGGGTTGCTTAGGCAAGTACTCTGTGACTGAGCTGCATATCCAGCTCAGATGTTTCCTTAATGCACATTAGAAAGTTTCGAGTTTGAGGCTAATGAGGACACTATAATAAATTATCCTTTTTATGAGGTTTATTAGAAGAGATTTCAAGTTGTAACACCATAGACAGATAGGGCAAACTGCTACATGGGGAAAGGGGCTCCTCGGAGAGCTCAGGTCCACATGGCAGTGCAGCCATTCTTACAGATTTTAGAGGAGGGAGGGTGGAAAGATTGAAGTTTTCTTCTTTTGTCCTATAGTTGGCCATTGTTAGGTATAGCCAGTGCAAGCTTAGTTTGAAGAACAGAACAGCTCTGTTATTGACAGACATCTCTCTTGCTTGGTCATAGCTGAGATTTGGTAAGGCAGGTATGTTGGTTAGTTTTATATCTACCTGACACAAGGTAGAGTCATTTGGGAAGAAAAACTCTTCAGTTGAGAAGATGCACCCATAGGGTTAGTCTATACACAAGTTTGTCAGGCATTTTCTTGATTGATTAATATGGGAATGCCTGGCCCATTTTGGATGGTGGTCCTGGGTTCTGTAAGCACACAAGCCAACCAAACCAATAAAGCACACTCCTCCATAACCTCTTGCCCCCAGATTCCTGTGTTGAGTCCCTGCCATGACCCCCTTTATGAGGGACCGTAAGCTGTAAGGGAAAACAACCCTTTCCTCCCCAAAATGCTTCTGGTTGTGGTGTTTATCAAAGCCATAGAGACCTAAGACAGAGAGGAAAGTAAGGCTCTAGAAAAAGAAGTCATTTTAGTTCTAGAAATGTAGTTAGTGTCTGCATTTATCATTGTTGAACCGGTATGGAAGAGCTTTACGTGGTGGTCTGGGCATAGCCAGCACACATAGCATAATTGGTAGTGAAAATGCAGATAAATAAAAACAAAATACAAAAACAAAATTACCCTTAATTTCACCAACCAGAGATTATCCCTCTGTTTTGCTTTAACTTAAATATTACATATCTGCTGTGGGGCAGATAAATGCCTGTATTTTATCAGGTGCTATACATACTATCTTGGCATCATTTCTTCAAATCATTATGTCAAAAACAACTTACTGCCAGCAGTGTATAAAAATACATGACTCTAAAAATACTCTTTATCCCACCCTCCCTTTCTCTCCCTCTCTCTTCTGTCCATATACTCAGTTAAAAAAAAAAAGAAAAGAAAAAAAAACACTTAAGATTTAAGGATAGAGACATACAAGAAGTTGCCAACAAATATACAGAGAGGTCCCTCAAATCTCTCTCCCAGTGTATATGCATCAGAAGGAAAACATGCGTCGTCATCTATGTGGTGCTGATTTTGTTGGTATGATGGATGCAAGGGAGAGCAGGGTAATAGGGGCTTATGCTAATGTTGGAAAGCCTCTAAGTCCAAACTGACCCGACTGGTTAATAAGTTAGTAAGTGAGGCTGCAAAGGTGAAGCCCAAGCTGCAGTGGAGTCCTGAATGTTTAAAATGCCAAGACTGTTGGCCATCTAACAAGCTGCAGGCCTAAGAGAGAGTTTGTATACTGTGGGTAGCAGAGTTGGAGGGTGGGGCTACCCAAGACACTTCAAACCCACATGATTGCATCATGAGCTCGGATGCTGGACATGGAGCCACAGGATTTGGTGTTTACCTTGTTAGGTGTCAGATTTGCTTTGATCTCATCCTTTTGTTTTTTTCTTCCTCCCTCTATAACTAGGCAGACTAAGAAGGATATTTACATATACAAATATAAAATTTTTAAATAATAAATTTAGTATTTCGTGACATTTGGAAATTATATAAAATTTAAGTGTCAGGCTATATGTTTTATCGCAGCATACTTATATTCAAGTCACGTTTTACAGATCGTTTTTGTACTTCCTGGCAGATTTTGGTAGTTGCAACAAATACTGAAAGGCCTACATATTTATTATCTAGCCTTTTAAGGGGGGAAAAAAACCTGCCTGACTTGTAGATTTTGTAAGTCAGCAGAAACGCATTCAGTATTATTTCCTTTCCTGGAGAAGCTTATAAGCTAGCTGAAGAAAGCAGGGCAGGAAAGCTTTGGTTGCCTGCAGTCTTATATTAAATTGCTGTTATACACTAAATCATGTGAAGACATATATGGTACCCATAATCCTGAAATTACTTATCAAAGAGAAACTGCCTCAAAGAGGTTTTGGTTGAAGATAAGAAAACGACATAAAAAGGGGGCCAAGGAAGGAGAAAGTCAAACTGTATTTGTAGGTGACATAATTCTTTTATTTAAGAGACCCCTTTAAGTCTACTAGAAAATACATAACCCATTAAACACCATAAATGTACATAGTACAAAATCAACATAAAAATCCTTAATATATATCAACAATGTACTCTACAAGAAAGAAATTAGGAAAAATACCCTATTCTGATAACTCAAAAAAAATAAATATTCATCAAAAAAGAACTTCAGGACACTAAAAGGGGAAAGCTTGCTCCTGAATTGACAAAATAAATGTTTTAAAAATGGCCATGAAACCAAAATTAATTTACAGATTTAATGGAATATCTATCAAAATTTGATGTCATATTTGATGGATTTGTAAATATAAGAATTTTTATGGACCCACAAAAGGCCACATACCAAACTCAAATTATACTGTAGAGCTACAGTGATAAAGACAGTCTGGAACTGGCATAAGAAACTGACAGATATACCAATAGAATAGAATAGAATAGAATAGAATAGAATAGAATAGAATAGAATAGAATAGAA